CCCCCCTGCCTGGGCCCCAGGGGGCAGGCAGCGGCTTCCCCGGGCCGGCTGCGGTGCCAAGGCGGGAGGAGGCATCCCTGGCGCAGGGGACGCATTTCCTGGGAACAGCAGCGGCTCCGGCTCCTTCGCTCGGGCTGGGGAGCGCTCCTCTGGCTGGCGCGAGCGCAGCACGCGTGGGAGCGAGGCCCGGGGGGATCCCTGCCCGCTCCCCTTTCACCAAGAGGGTCAGGCCCGTCCCTGCGCCGGCCGCGCCGAGCACCCTGCCGTCACCCTCCGAGGGGTGGCTCGGGCAGGAAGAGGCAGAGGTGGGCAGGAAGGAGGCAGGGTGGCTGCGCGGGCGGCAGAGCCGGCTCCCAGCGCACGCAGAGCAGCGGCACCACCTCACAGAGAGCTTTTCCAGCTCGTCGGGTTTAGCAGAGCTGGCCAGAAGCGACTTCGGAGCTGCAGGTGGACCCGAGGAGCGGTGCCCCGTGGCCAGGCTCAGCGCAGCAGGCTGCGAGAAAGCCGCTTTAGCCATGATTAAAGAAAAAAACCAAAACAAACCATGTAAAAGTTATATTATGCATTAAAAAAATGGAGGTATGAAAGACAAAAAACACAGGGCAGGGGAAGCTCAGCCCTGACGAGCACCGGTGGCTGCTCCACCCCCTCGCCACACTCCCAGCCCCAAGCGGAACCTCCCCAGCCTGAGCCGCAGCGAGCCGCTCGCGCTGCGCGAGCCACTCGCGCCGTTCGCGTTACACCAGGCCAAACCACCCTGCCCCGCGCGGGGCCCCAAGGACAGGCAGGAGGGCACCAGCTGTCCCGGCCCCGGGGCGCTGCTGGGGCGGCCACGCAGAGTGCACGGACAGGCAGCCCCGGAGTTTTATTGCCACGGAAGCGGTAGAAGGTACTGGACAGAACCAGGAGCCTCTCCCAGTTCCTCCGCCCGCTCCACTCCGAGCGCCGGACACAGAGCTATCGCGCTCTCTTGCGCGGGCGGCGAAGGGGCTGCTCTTGCCGCTTGGGCGCAATTTCTAGCGCTGGCTTGGCTCCGCTGCCAGCTGCGGTGGTCATGTCGGGGACATCCTCGGCAGAGATGGGCTGGATGATATGGCCCGCTCGGGTAACGACGCGGGGGGCGGTCAGCTTCTGGAAGGCACGCTGCGTGTTCCACGTGGGGCCCACGGGCATCCGGATGCTCTGCTCAAACTGCTGGTGCCTCTCAAATGGGAAGGGCAGCTCGCTGACCTGCGGGGAACAGCATGGCGGGGTAACTCCCACAGCGCCCCGGCCCACGCTGCCGCCGATTCCCACTCACCCAGGACCCGCTCACGCTCTGCCTCCCGGCCCCGGCCCCGCTGACCACCTCCCTCCACCCCCTCTTCCAGCAGATCCCAGGGGGGCTGGCACAGCAGCCATCAAGGGAGCAGCCCTGGAAATTCCTCCTCCCTCCATCACCCTGCCAGCCTCTGGGTTGTCAAAGCTGGAAACTACATGGCCGGGCAGGGATTACAGGCAGGGATTCAGGACGTTTTGGGAAGGGGCCACGGGAAGGTCCTGGGCCAGCCTGGCTGCTGGAGCGCTCCCTGCTGCCGCTTGCGGAGGCCGGGTGTCACCCACCTGATGTGCTGCCGCGTGGATGTTGCGCTTCTCACTTATGATGACGTGGGGCAAGTGCCGGTCCTTCCTGGGAGGCGCCGGGGGCGGCTTGAGCAGGAACCTGCCGGGCAAGCGAGAGGTCAGGCCCCGGTGCTGGGCTGCGGCACGTCGCTGCAGCTCTTCCACACTTACCGTTTTATTTTCTTGGTGCTGGGCTTCAGGCCCGTGCCTCCCCACTCGCCCCAGCCCGGCAGCACCAGGTTCACCGGCTGCGGCTTCCCAGCCTCCTCTGCCTTGCGCTTCTCCCGGCGGAAGTCAGCAACCACGTCGTCCCCGGCAAAGGCCTCTGTGATCACCCCTCTTTGGTCGACACCACCCTCCTGTCGGGAGAGGGGTCAGTCCCCTGTGGCCAGCCCCGCCCCGGGGCCAAGGGGCAGGCCCGTCCTGCTCACCTCCTCCTCCATGACCACCGGCAGGCTGGGGCACTGAACCTCCTGAGACTTCCCGGCTAGCACGGCCTGCAGGCTGATCATCTTTTTCTTCTTCTTGGCTGGTAGCTTCTTGGCACGCCTGTCCCCAGCTCCGCCTCCCTCCTGCTGCTGCACTCGCTTCTCTGCTCTTGCGGCCGCTGGCTTCTCGGCTCTTGCGGCTGCTAGCTGCTCCTGCTCCTCCACGTGCTCCTCTGAGGCCAGAGTCTCGACATCCTCCATCGTCCGCACCCGGCCCAGCTGCTCCGACAGCAGGACCTCTTCCTGGGCCTGGGGAGGCTGCTCGAGCCCTGTGCTCGCCTGCTCCTCGGCACAGATGGGGTGGATGGGGCTGTTCCCCGCCAGTTCAGAAGCTGCCTCCGTCTCATCAGCACCTACGCGTTGGGGCAACAGGTGAGAATCAGCCACCCAGGAGTAGGGAGGGAGAGAGCAGGACAGCTGCGTGAAACCGGGCCGAAAACAGCCCCCACGACCCCCTTGTGTTTGCCCAGCCCCGCAGCACACCAGCCCCGCACTGCCCAGGCTGCGAGCTCCTCACCTTGTCCCTCGGGGCTCCCTGCCCGCTGCTGCCGCATGTGCCGTTTCTGGGCAAAGTCTTGTAGCAGAGCTTCCTCCTCCGACACCTCCTCCTCCGACACCTCCTCCTCCTCCATCTCCTCCTTGCTCTCCGCAGCACCAGGCACTGCAATGTCTCCAAGACTCTCCTGCACCTCAGGCTCCTCGGCTGGGCCGCTGGGCTTGCCCAGCATCCAGGGATTAGCTCCGCTGGCACCCGCAGGGATGGTGGGGAGGGTCACCGACGCGAGGTCCTCCTCAGGCGCGTCGCCCGGCTCCTCCTCAGGCAGCTCCACCCGCACCTTCTGCGTCAACTCCTTGTTCCTGGCCAGCTGCTCCTGCATGGCCTTGCGGGCCTGGGAGGGGATTGAGATGTTCCTAACGCAGGCCAGGAACAACACGCCCACCTTCCTTGCCCCTCCTCAGCTGTCTCCCCCTTCCCCAACCCACGTGGGAGACCTTATTGTGGCCTCTCAGTATAGAAAGGGGGCTTATAAGGAAGACAAAGAGAGACTTTATACCAAGGCCTGCAGTGGCAGGACAAGGGACAACTGCTTTAAACTAGAAGAGGGTAGGTTTAGGTTAGATCTAAAGAAGAAATGCTTTACGCTGAGGGTGGTGAGATACTGCAGCAGGTCGCCCAGAGAAGCTGTGGATGCCCCATCCCCGAAGCGTTCAAGGTCAAGTTGGACGGGGCTTTGAGCAACCTGGTCCGGTGGAAGGTGTCCCTGCCCACAGCACGGGGGCTGCACTAGGTGGTCTCTGAAGGTCCCTCCCAACCCAAACCGTTCTGTGATTCTGTGATCTCACCTCCAGGTCATACTTAGCCATAATGGCCCTGGAGCGGGCCCATTTTCCCTTGTTCTGGTGCTTGAGACTCATCCGCTCCTGGGGGGAAGAGGAAGAGAAGCATCAGAAAGGGCACCCTCGCGAGCAGGGACTTCCCAAGGGGTGGGGGAGAAGCGCAGAAGCAGCACCTGCATCCTGAGCTGCTCCAGCTCCTCCAGCTTTGCCAAGGCGGCCTCAGGGTCCGACTTGTGCAGCAGCTCAAACTCCTTTAAGGCCTTGCGTCTCTTGCTTTTTTTCAGCACGCGATGGTACCTGCAGCCCAAGGGCAGAGAGCCAGGGAGTGAGACCTCACGGTGCCGGGGAGGCCTTTGGGAACGCAGCGCTGTTTTGGGCAGGAGGCTGCCCGATACATTGCAGATCCCGGGGAGGAAGGGGGCTGCTCTGCCTTCCTCCGTGCTTTGGCCATGCCCACGCACCAGGCAGGGTTGGCTCCAGCGCCGCGGCCAGGACCCAGCCCTCTCCCACCGCACTGAGCCCAGCAACGGCAGAGCCTTACTTCTTGCTCTTGATCTTCTTCTCTCGCCGAGCCTTGGCTTCGTAGTAGGACTGCACGGCCCGAGCCTTCTGTAGCTCTGCCCGCCGCTGCCGGGCCTGCCAGGGAGTGCGGAGTGAGGGCAAGCGCCAAGGAAGGGGCCTCCAGAGCCAGGGCGTGGCGGGGGGGAAGCACTTACCTCCTCCAAGCTCATGGCCTGCAGCGAGGCCGCCTCCTCCGGCGTCAGGAGCGGGTCTGTGATGGGCTGCTGCGTCTTGTGGAGCAGTCCAAAGATCTCCTGCTCTAGAGGAGTTCGGGCCTGTTGGGACAGAACAGACACAGCAAGAGCACGATGAGAAGGACTGCAAGAGCCAGCGCTCCCCCAGACATCCCCATCCTTCCCGGTGCCCCTGAGCAGCTCCACGGGAGGGCCCAGAGAAGCATGTCCCCTCCTCCTGGGGTCACAGCCCCGCTCACGGGTCCCACACAACAGCCCAAGGCTCACTGCAGGCCCGCCCAGGCACCCTCCCTGCCATCGCGCCAGGTTAGGGCAGGCGGAATTCCTCCCAGGGCAGAGAAACAGGCTCGCAGTCGACAGGCAGTGCTGACCGGGTAGCACCGGACAAGAAGCACGCAGCAGAAGTTCCAGGCCACCACGTCCCGCCGAAGCAGAAAGAGACCTTTGGGCAGACCGAGGCGAGCGCCAGGTACGTCGGGAGCTCGGCAGGGGCTGTCTCTCACCCAAGCATCGGGACAGCTGGGAAAGCGCGCAGGGATGACAGCGACTCTCCTGCCAGCAGCACAACCCCCAGCGGAACTCGCATCCAAAACCAAAAGCATCCTTCTTTCACAACGAAGGTTGACAGACGCACAGGCTTCGGCAAACCAAACCCCGCCCTCTGCCTCAGCACAAGTGGCCGAGGGCTACTAGCAGGCACGTGGCTCAGCCCAGGGACCGGGAAACAGCAGACGCAGCCCGCGTGCCTAGGGCTGAAAGGCTGGAAAGAGGAGAGGGGACAGAGCAGGCTCCAAACGCTCTGCTTACGCCTTACCCAGCCTCTCCCAGAGAGCGTTTACACACCTGCTATGTGTGAGGAACACAGAAAACTTCCCTTTTCATCTTCCCAGTGTGTGCCTGCCCAGAGCCTTGGCTACAGGCTGGGCCTTCCTCACGCCTTCCTCGCTCCTCCCAGTGCAGCCAGGAGACACCGAGCTGCCCCAGCCAACCCCGGGAGCTGCGCCACACGTGACAGCACCCACCTTCCACGCCGAAGCCATTTGCTCCAGCGGGACGACTGTCGCAATCTCCTGCTTCAGAGGGAAAACCAGCTGCTCCGCCCGTCGGTTCTGCAAAACCACCTGCTGCCATTTGCCCACGTCTTTAGAGGTCCTGACGTAGGCAGCTTCCCTCACGACCTGCAGGCAGGGGCGAGAAGGGGAAAGGCTGTTGTAAAGAACACGAAAAGCCAGCTGGCATCGGCGAGGAGCAGAGGGGCGCGCAGGGGCTCGGCTCTACTGCCCCGGAAAGCCAGAACTCCCCCCCGCTGCCTGCGCAGGCCCACTCACCCGCTTTGCCTCCTCTTTGCTGAGCGGCAGCTCCACGGCCTTCTTCTGCTTCGCTCTGGTCAGCTCTTTCTTCACGCTGCTCAGGGCGGATTTGGGGCGGATGGGCTGCAGGAGCTCAGACAGGACCAGCTTCTCCCCAGCACCTACACGAGGTCCCGCGTGTCAGCGCGGGCATCGCCGAGTCGAGGGGCTGCAGCTGCCCTCAGCCCAAAGACCCAGAGCAGACGCGGCAAATCCCAGGCCGCCAGCGCTCTCCCAGTCAGGCAGCAGGAGCTCTGCCCGGTCTGCCGCGGATCTCACCTTTGCAGCTGACGTTGAACTCGGACACCTGCACGCTCGCCTCCGTACGCTCTGCCAGCTTCCGCCTGCGAGAGGAGAGAATGGAGCGAAGGGCGGCTCCCGCGCCCCGGGGTGCTTCTCCTCCGGTCCCCTGCCGCCGGCGGGGGGCACCG